AACAAGAACAACAATCTTTCAAAGAAAGTGGTTATCAAAGTCTCCCACTATGACTGTGGAGTCATCTATTTGGCTTTTCAACTTCTTTAAAGTCTGATTTATGTATTTTGGAGCTCTTTCATTGGGTCCATAGATATTTATTATGCTTATATCTTCATGTTCAATTGATCCTTTAATCATTATGTAATGTCCTTCCTTGTCTCATATGGTGGTTTTTGTCTTAAAGTCAATATGGTCAGAAATTAATATTGCCCCTCCTACTCTCTTTCAGTTGCCATTTGCTTGATGTATCTTTTTCCAACCTTTGATTTTTAATCAATTTTTGTCTTTATCTCTAAGTTGTGTCTCTTGTGGGCAGCATATGGATAGGTTTTGTTTTCTCATCCAGTCTGCAACTCTCCATCTCTTGAGTGCTGCATTTAATCCATTAACATTCAGTGTAATTATTGACAAATATGAATTTGTTGCTATCATTTTGTTTGTGTTTTTTCATGGTATCCCTTGTTTTTGTTCCATATTATTTTCTGTGCTGAGCTCCTTATGTTTATGAATTGTGTAATCATTTCCTTTGTTGCTATTGTTTAGTATTTGCTAAGTATTTGTGCTTATCCTCCTTTTTATTGTGATATGAAGGTTTATCATTTTTCTTTGAGGTTATCCTCTGATTTATACTTTTCTCCCCGAGTTTAGAGCAGTCCATTCTATCTTGCAACTCTCTTAACTTCCTCATCATTTAGAAGTTCTGTAACTACACAGTCGTTTCCCTCTTTCTGTTTGTAATTGTCCTCACTTGCCAATTGATGTCTCTGGTTCCCTGTTTACAATCTTGGAAGCTCATTTTACTTTGGATATGTCCATAACAGTGGTGTCTGGGTTATATCACTTTGTGTATTAATGATTGGTTGTTATTTGCTATTTTTGTTTCTCTGTTCAATGGGCTCCCTTTAGCATCTCTTGTAAGGTGGGTCTGGTTTTAACAAATTCTCTTAGTTTCTGCTTATCTGGAAATCTCCTAATTTCACCATCATATTTGAGGGACAATTTTGCTAGGTATATAATTCTTGGTTGAAAATTATTTTCTTTCAGGGTTTTATATATACCAACCAATTGCCTTCTTGCTTGCATGGTTTCTGCTGAGAAATCAGAGCTTATTCTTACCGGCTGTCCTTTGTAGGTAACTTTTTGTTTTTCCTGTGCTGCTTTCAGGATTCTGTCTTTGTCTTTGGTTTTGATGAGTTTGATGATGATGTGTCTTGGTGATTGTCTTTTGGGGTCTATACTGTTTGGGGTTTGTTGGACTTCCTGAATGAATATATTCTCCTCTTTCATCATATCAGGGAAGTTTCCTCCAGCAAATCTTGGACAATTTTCTCAGTGGTTTCATATTTCTCTTCCTGTTCTGGAATTCCAGTGCCACGTAGCTTAGTCCTTTTGATGTTATCTCACATGAACCTTAGGCTTTCTTCATTTTGTTTTGATTTATTTGTCTAATAGATCCCTTTCCAAAGTTGTTTTTAGGTATTTGTCTTCAATCTCTTTAATTCTGTCTTCCACTGCATCGATTCTACTCCTTTGCTCTTTCAATGTGTTATCTATTTCTGAAAATTTATATTAATCTTCTGGATTTCTATCTTTAGATTTCAAATCATTTCTAATTTTTCATTTATTTTGTCCTTTTGTTCTTGTATTTTCTTCCAAAATTCTTCTAATGTTTTTTCTGTGTTTTCTTTGGTCTGTCTCTCGATCCTTTGAAGATACGTAAAGATAATTCTTTTGAATTCCTTATCAGAGAGTTCCAATGTTGCTTCTTCCTCAGGGATACGTTCTGAGTCTGTATCCTATTTTCTTCTTTCTACCACTTTATCTTGTGTCTTTTTGTGGACTGTGATGGTCTGCTGTTTCTGAGACATCTTGGTGTATTTAGATCTCTGTTAACTGTTTGTGAAGAGTAGCCAAGGGTGAATCAGGCTCTTCTTGGTGTTTTTTTATTGTTGGCCCATTGGTGGAGAAGGAGGTGGTGGCTCTCACTCAGTAAGTGAAGTTGCAAGAGGTGTGGGTGTAGTTGTATCTTATGGGGACTGTTCCGGTTTCCCACTCAGTTAGACAAAAATTACACTTGAATAAACATCAAGAAACTAAAAGCACATGGACAAAAAATATACCATGTAAACAGACAGGAACAGTAACCAAAAAAAGAAAAAAGGGAAAAAAAAAGAAGAAAAAAATAAGAAGACCTGCAGTATCTGGGGATAGGGCACTAAGAGAAAAAGGTAGAGAAGGAGGCTAATGAGGAAAAAGATGAGATTAATCCAAGAAGAAAACCAAGGAATGGGGTTAACCATGAGATAAAAGGGGAAAAAAAAGAATTTAAATTATTATTATTATTTTTTTCAACCAGGAACAGGGGGAAAAAAAAAAAAAAACTGTAAACTAGGAGCAGGGAGGGGAAGAATAAAGAGTAATAGTAAAAAGGACAAAAAGTATTAATAATAGTAGTAGTTTTAAAACAGACAAATACAAGCAAACTAAACACCAGAAAAAAGAAAGAGAAAAAGAAAAAAATCGGTGGACAGGGCAGGGAACCCAGGCTCTGTCCAAGCACACAGACTGGGATGGAGTTCCTACAGGTCCAGAAGGTGGTTGGGAGTGGGAGATGGCCACAACTCCATTCACCAAGTAGGTGTGGGGTATAAGAGTAACAAGAGGAATGTTGTACCTTTTCAGTTGTGCAGATCCCGAGTGTCCTTGGGGTTACTGGCAAGTAGAACCTGTTCTTAAGCCCCTGGAATCTCAGAGTGCTATCTCTTTAAATATCCCAAATGGCCAAGCAGCTTGTAAACATTCAAAATTGCGGTGCCCTCCACACAAGCAAAAGTCCATAGTTCAGCCCATCTTCCTCTCCACCGCTGTTTCCCCTTTTATTCCACAGCCACCAGAGCAGTCCTCTGTGCAGTCTCTGGCTATCATTTCTGATTTATAGGTTAATTCTTAGGTCCTACCACCACTCTGGAATCTCCAAGCTGTCTGTGTCATCAGGATTGCTCAGGATCGCTGCCAGACCACAGCTCCATATGTCTCCTTTTCTGGTATTTTCATGCAGATTCTTCTGCTAGTTGGGGTTTAGTCCATTTCTATATCCTTCCATTCAAGGTTCAGGGGTCCAGGATTATTTTCTGTGTCTGTGTTAATTGGTTTCCCTTTTCTTTGTTGAAGAGGATCTGTGCAGTCTTTCTGCCTATTCCGCCATCTTGGAATCTGTCCCACTTAGTAATTTTTAAAACCTTTTATTAAAACATTTTTTAAAACTCTCTAAATTTTATTTAAGGAGTCATGGTGTGCAACAGTTAAGAACCAGGTTAATTGAATGGTTGGCCATTCCAATCTACCTAGCAGCTGTGCAGGAGAAAGGCCTGGTGATCAGGTTCCACAAAAATTATAGTCAAGAAAATCCCATGATGTTAGTTCTATTTTATCATATTTGGTCGCTATGAGTCAGAACTGGCTAGTCGGCACCCAAACACAACAACAAATTTTTACTTGAAACATGATTTTGAGGCTATAAAGAGTTCCAGGTTATGTATTTGGAGAAAATATAGACTTTAAGTCAGACAAATTCAGGATGAAATCCAGTTAATTACGGATGAACATGTGATTTTGGAAGTTATTTAGCCTCTGTGTTTCTCCATTTCCTCATCTATAAAATGGGAGATAATACTTTCTTTGAATAAGCATGCTGAAGAGTTCATGAGATTACGTGTCCATGTCCTATCTGCAGATGATCTAGAAGAGTTCTCTATTCATGGTTATATTATGTTAAATAGTATTAGATTGGCATTCTTCTTATTTATTTATTTATTTATTTATTGTGATTTGGGTGGAAATTTACAAAACAAATACACTTTCCATACAGCAGTTCACATGCAGTTTGTCTCTTCACATTACTATAATTTAGCCCAATGCAACAGCTCCCCTCCCACTTCCTCCCAATACTTACCTCTTCCCTGTGTCCATCCCTCCATGCACTCCTGCCTGCTGAGCTGTCTCGCTGTGCATAAACAGCCCTTCTTTCTCCCATGATTGATCTCTCCAAGGAGTGTATCTACCTCAGGTAAATGTTCAGCTCATATGCCTGTCTTGTGTTTGGCTGGAAGCCACAGGTGTGGGTTCAATTTCAGACCTGAAGGGCAGCTAGGGCCCATAGTCTCAGGGGTTCCACCAGGCTCTATCAGAACAGCAAACTTGGTCCCCTTTTTTTTTCCCCAAATGATTTTGAATTTTGTTCCACATTGTTTTCCCTCTCTATCCAGGATCCCCTATATAGATCTCCCTCTGAATGTTTGACCGTGGTAGCTGGACACCATCTAGTTCTTCTAATCTCATAGTTGTATAGGCTGTGGATCACATGGTGTACCAGTCACTAAGACTAATTGTTTCCATAAATTTTTTGTTTTCTTCATTCTTCTTTGCTCTGGACAAGGACAGACCCATCATTGCATCTAGATTGTTGCTTCCAAGCTTTTAAGATCCTAATCACTACTCACCAAAGTAGGAGGGAGAACAATGTTTAGCATTCTTATTCTTATTCTTATTCCCACTTCTGAGATGCAATGAAATTAAGAGACCTACCAAAGTTCACATAGCTAATTCTTAAAGTAGTTTATATATATACTTTCATATATATATATTCCCCCTTTCATACACACACACACACACACACACACACACACACACATATATATATATATATATATATATATATATATGAAAGGGGGGGGAAGCTTCCTCTGCAGACTTGGGGTAAAAGTGTAGATACTGGCCCATACTGCTTCCCTGGGAGCTGGATTCTGGATATTTCTTTCAGAACCTGGACCTGTGTTGATTAGTCTGAACCAGAAATGCATTGAGAAGGTGTCATCAGATGGTACCTGTGAGGATTTCAGCTGCACATTCTGCCATTTTCTGAATCACGAGTCTCAGGGTTCCACCCTCCAAGCTCAGCAGCAGGGTCCCTGAGCCCTCAGACAGCTGTGTGGACAAAAGCAGACCATCCTTGTTCCATGTTCGAAACTGGAAACTCACTGAGAGTCCATCAATTTGGGAGGTCCCGGGCAGCAGCAAATAACTGCATGTGGAGTTGACAAATGTGATAGGAACAATCTGTGGTTCGGAGCAGGAAAAAGTAACATTGCCCTGGAAAAGAGTAAAAATTAAACATATAAAACCCGTTTTTTAAAATTTCTGCAACCTAACAGCTGATATAAACTACCTCCTGGAGCTGATGTCAATTTCAGGATCATTCCATATTCAGCTTCAATATCTTAAAAAATATAAATCAGCTTTGCTCATATACACCCACAAGTTTGTTTTCTATTCCTGCTTTAAAGATCACAGTGCAAAAGGGCCATTTAAGACCTCAGGGAGGGAGGAGGATGGGAAATGTCAGCATACTCTAGATACAGAAATAATTACACCCATTCAGAAAATATGTACTGCAAGTCAACTATGTTTCCAGCATTGAGTTAGCTTCCCAAGATGTACATATGAAGAGATTTTATTGAATTTTGGAATGTGCTGAAATAGAGATAGGTACAAGCTCCTATGGGAGCCTGGGAGAAAAGTAACTGAACATATTTAAAGGAATCAGCAAAGACTTCACAAGTGAGCTTATCCTTGTTTGGAAATTTCAGGATTTTGCAGGTGGAAAGACGTGGGGAAGGAGAGGGAAGAGTGTGGACTGATTAGCATTTTGCATTTGAAATACGCAAAACGATATTCCTGGAAAATGCAAGGAAATTGTCATTTGTAAGCATAAAGTAGGGAAGGGAGGGCCATGGATCCTGGAAGGAGATGAGACAAAAAAGAAGGTGAGTTGAGGCAGAGGTTGAAAGATCTTTTATGTTTTGCAATACAATTTTTATCAAACATTTCCCTCTCACAGTTTGTACTATTCTACGATGACAGCCAATAGGAAGAGTGCTTATATACATACAGGTATACATTGTAGATATTGCAGGTTTGGTTCCATACCACCATAATATAGCAAATATCTGAATAAAGTGAGTCACACATATATTTTTTGTTTCTCAGTGCAAGTTTGGTGGCATAGTGCCTAAGACATTTGACTGCTAACCAGAAGGCTGGCAGTTCAAACCCACCAGCCACTCCTCAGAAGGAAGACTGGGCAATCTACTACCATAGAGATACCACCTGGGAAACCTGGGGTCGCTATGAGTTGGAATCAACTCGATGGCATTGAGTTTGGTTTGGTTTTTGGATAATCTAATAAGTGTGCAGAAGCTCTGGTAGCATAGTGCTTAGGATTCTTGACTGCTAACCAGAAGGCTGGCAGTTCAAACCCACTAGCAACTCCTTGGAAGGAATGTTGGGCAATCTACTTCTGTAGTGATACTGCCTATAAAACCCAAGGAGGGGTCGCTATGAGTCGAGTCTGGCTCAACGACACATAACAACAATAAGTGTGCAATATCATTATGAAAATGTTTGAAATACTATGAGAATTACTAAAATGTGACACAGAGGAATTGCATTCATGAATATTCACAAAGTGCTGCCTGAAACACACTATATAGTACCATTCCTTCAATAAAACTCTTTAATTTTAAAAGAGAAAATAAATAAATGTGACACAGAGACACAAATGATCACATGCTGTTGGAAAAAATGATGCTGATAGACTTAATCAATGCAGCATTGTCACTAATCTTCAATTTGTAAAAAATGTAATTATCAGGAAGTACAGTAAAGTGAAGCACAGTAAAACAACTATGCTTGTATCTTGTGTGTTCTACACAACACTACAAAGCATTATTTCCTGCACTGGAAAGTTGCACAAACTGAGCTGAAAGCTTGAGTAACTTCATGAGATCCATATTCCCACTAGCAATGATGCTGGGAGAAACAGGGAAGTCTCTGATATGCAAGCTTATGTATTTAGCCCCCATCCTTGATACATCACTTCTCTGTCCTGAGTACAAACATTAAAAAATCTACCAATTTGCTCATGGGGTCTCAATGTTATTTTAACGTGCATTTTTGGATTTGTGGTCAATTTCTTTTTAATAATGAAAATATCCCTACTGGATATATTCCAGGGCAAGAATTTAAAATAAATGCCTTTAAGAATCCTCAATGGTTAAGGTAAGGCAATACCTGTGGTAATCAACACTGTTCAACAGGGGGCAGAGAAATATGACATGCACTGGTCCATGCCACTCTCTTCACTGACTTTCCCCTTTTCTCTGTCAGTCATAATTCCCTCCCTTCCTCACATTCCCTGCACACTGTTCTTTCTGTCTTTACCATGTGCTCTGCTATTCAGGGCTGTCCTCCATAACACATCTTTGTGTTGAAACCTACACCTGCTTTGTTCTTCATTGGTAAATCCAAGGGCAAGTAGGAGAGAAGAAATTTGAATGGATAGGAAATAACAAATCTGATCCAATTCACCAGGCAAATGTGAGTGGTTCTGGCTCAGTTTCTGGCTCAGCTTCCCACTGCTTCCTTGGTACCCCTGCTACTGGCATTCCCATTTCAACGTGGAATGCAGCTGGAACAAGTGCCACACTGTGTTAAAAGCATCAATAAGTCCCTCATCCACTACAGACAGGGATGAAGAAAACAAAGTCAGGTCAATGAAAAAAATGTCACTTTGGAAACCAATATGGAATATTTGATATCTTTCAGAGGTGACCTTTGTAACCAGAATCCTTCTCAACACAGCATTTTGGTTGAGAAGTAGTCATCACAATAATTTCAAATTGGTATGCGAGAAGACAATTTACTTCGGAATTGTCAAAAGAAAGGATGACAGAAAGTGGACAGACTATATTCTACCTAACACACATCTTTGATCTAAGTCATCAACTTTCATCATCCTTCTCCCAAGAAGGAGACATTTATTCAACAATCAATCAAGAATTCTCAAGCACTGTGAAACAATGTGCTAAGCACGGTGGTGTAAAAGTTATACACATAAATGTTTTCTTGGTCTTTTGCATTCTATAATCATGAAATGTATATGATGAATGCAATCAATGTGAAGTATGTCATGACACCTACAGTCCACTATAGTCAAACCTGCAAGGGAAAACACCTGGCCCTGGCCCCACATGCAAAATGGAAAGGAAGTAATTATCACTGTCAAGGGCCTTGTTTTCTTCCCTCTCTTACAAGAAAAACATGACCTTGCCCTAGAAAACAATAAGACACAGTTCTTTCACTGTCCAAAAAAGAGTGTCACTCTGCATTCAAGCTTGACCCATCTGTCAGTTTGTTGTACTGAGGAGCTTGCATGTTGCTATGGTGCTAGAAGCTGTGTCATTGGTATTTCAAATACCATTAGAGTCAACCATGGTGGACAGGTTTCAGTGGACTTTCCAAATTAAGACAAAGTAGGGAGAAAGGCCTGGTGATCTACTTCTGAAAATCAGCTAATATAACCTTATGGATGCAGTGCTGGAAGATGAACCTCGTAGGTTAGAAGAAACTACACAATAGCCAAAGCAATGAACTCAGACATATCAACAATCATGAACATGCCACCATGAAGCAGAGTCTACTAGATAGCAACTAACAACTATATTCAAGAAACTAAACTCTCGGTGTTGAGCTTCTCATTAGACCACCTTGTCCTTGTTGTGGTTGATTGATGGAACTCTACTCTCTGAGATTGCTTATCTCAACTTTAATGAGGACTCCTCAAGGCAATAACTGCCCAGGTCACACAGTCCCTGATAAAAAGGCATCTCCTTCTTTCTAGGCATGTCTCAATGTCCTAAGCTTTTAGTGTTATTCATTCCCATGCTTCTCTAAAAGTCCAGGTGCTACAGAAGTGTGTAGACATAGTAGAAAACCCATCTTTCCCTTAGGAACCCCAAAAACAATGTTTACATTACTCCTCTGGGGATCCACAAAGACTTTTCTTTGCAAATCTGAAAATATACACATTCCCTTTGAATCTATTATTTCAGACAAACAAAGAAGTTTACTTTCTAACCATGGTTCACACATCTCTGAAACCCAAACACCAGTTTATAGACTTAGGGACAGTGCCCATATCTACATAAACCACTTTGTTTTGTACCTTAATCAGTGAAAATTATTTGATTGCTAACCAGAAGGCTGGCGGTTCAAATCCACCAACCACTCCTCAGAAGGAAATCTGGGCAATCTACTTCCATAGAGATACTGCCTCAGAAACTCAGAGAGTTTGTGAGTCTGAACTGACTCAATGGCCATGAGTTTGTTTTTTGTTCGTTTTTTCACCTTACCAATAATGCCTAATGGCCTCCTAATTATGGTCAATAATCAAATTTGCATCAGTGTAGGAATACTAATTTTCATTGCTTCATTATCTCAAAGGAGGCTCTTACTTTAGGGGGCAGACAGAGAACTCAGTTCTATAATTGCTATGAGGAATAAGTACATGGGCCATATAGAAGAAAACCTGTCAGGTGATGTGCAGGTAACATGGACAGGAGGTGTTGTGCATGGAGAAAACAACAAAGGGTCTCACACGGTTCCCACTTCCCTCTGGCTTGCACATGGTGTGGTTGAACATCAAGCAAGAAAGAACAGAGATGGCTCCTGACTGCTGTAAGATATTATCTGCCTTATTTGTTGTCTCCCAGTCATGGGTACTACACTCACTAAAATGTGAAGACAATCAGAGCTCTTAAGATCATTCATTCAGTAAATTTGTATTGTTGGTATGGAAACTCACCACCTAAACACACTTCCTTCCTCTACTGGGAGTCATCTCTTCAGGTCTCTGCACTCTTCTTCACACTTGCTTCATTATACAGCAGAGATCTTCCTCCTCCCCAACACCTGACTCTTCCCCCACTAGCCACCCTCACTCAAATAGGTGGCTGCCTTTTCCATTGGCTTTGTTACCTGTGGATATTTATTATATTATTTACACTGCCTAGCAATAACAAAACAAACTCACTGCCCTGGAGTCAGATCCAACTCATAATGACTTCTCCTTGGGTTTCTGAGGCGGTATCACTGAGGAAGTAGATTGTTGTTGTTGTTGTTATGTGCCGGGGTCGAGTCGACCCAACTCATAATGACCCCTCCTTGGGTTTCCAAGGCAGTACCATTATGGAAGTAGGTTGCCCCATGCCTTAGGCACTACACCACCAGAGCTCCCTGCCTTGAAGTAGTGA